ACCGGCCCCGACCGGCCTGGCCGGGCTCGGCGGAGTCAGGGTCGGTGAGTGGCACCTGGGAGTCCGGCGCCCTGCCGGCGAGTCCCAAAGGCATGCAGCACCTGGCACAGGGCGAGCTGGTCCTCACGGTGTCCTCCTGTATAACCTCCTGCTGGGCATCTCCCCGCAGCTTGGCTAAGCCCATTTTCTGGGCCATCAGCCCACTTCCTTTGGCCGTCACGCCTGGGTTTAGCTCCCCTGCAGGCTGGGATCCCGTGGGCTGGCGAGCTGACTTCAGTGCAGTTTCCCTCAGGCTGCCCTCGGGGCTCATGGCAAGCCTTGGCTAGGCTGACCTTGGAAAGAAAGCCCTGTGGCCAGCTCAGCGCTCAGCTTTGCTACAGAACAGGACTGATGCCCATTTGGCAGTCTGGTGGATGCAGAGACATCTCATGCATTCAAACAGGTTGAACCCCTACACCCCAGTGCATCCAGGTCATGCCAGGCTTAACCATGCCTGCTCTGGGAAACTCTCACATAAGAGAAACCAGTCTGGCAATCCATCACCGCGCTCATGAAGTGAGTCCAGGGACTCTCGCCTCAGACTGGTGTCCACCAGAACAGGCCGTGTGAGTGTCTGCTGCCACCACTCCTGTGTTCAGTCACCTGAAGTTGCTCACTTTCTCTTCCTTAGAGCAGAGCTCTATTTGCTCTCAACCATGTAAGATGGACTTGGAAGTATATGGTCTTTAAGATTCCTTCCAAGCCAAACCATTTGTTGATCCTATGATTCTCAGTGTTTACTTTTTTTTTGTTTGATCAGCTAGCCCTTCCACTGTGTGAGGATCTCACTTTTTGGTTCAAACAACAGTTTCTTCCTTCAGTTTTGTGTAGAAACTCTATACAGATCTCATTGTTTCATCTGGTGGTAAAGCTAAACTTGCTGAAACAGAAACTGAATTTTCCAGGGTGAAGTTTCCCTGGAATTGTTTCCTTTTCCATGGTTTTTAGAACCTTTTTCCCCTGTGCTTGCCTTCATCTCCTCCATTTTGGTTCCCATAAACTTGCTCTTATTAACTCCTCAAAGACATGACTGTAGGGTATTCAGTGGTTGCTTATCCCCATATCTGCTTTTGTTCAAGATCCACATTCATTAACTTTATTTCCATTTTGGTTGAAGTAAACACATATTTTAATAGGAATAATAAAATAATAAATGTAATGTAAGAAGAAGCTTCAACTTGAAGTTTGAACAGTTTCCAAATGAGTGTAGAAGGACTGTCAGCTTGATTAAGGGTTTCAAAAAAATGTGCAAAGGCATGTTTTTACTTCTTGAATAGTAGATGAGAGCTCTGATCCAGACTCACAGAACTATTACTCTTTTCCAGGTGGGAAGCTTGGATGTTTTTGTAGTAGAAGAGCTTGTTTTCTTCCCTCTTGGTTTCAACACTAATTAGAAGAAAGAGTGGATTCTCATACTGGCTTCTTCCATGTTTTCAGTATCAGGATGAAGAGCTGGCTTGAGCAATGGAGCTCTCAGGGAGGAAAGCTGTGAAATGTTTACCAGCTGATCTGATAATATAAATGGGGAGAAAGCCCTTTATGAGCTAAAGGAGCAAACTTCTATACTGTGTGTTTCTAAGCCTTTGCAAACTCTATTTAATGCACAAAATACTTTTTAATCTGCTTTTGCCTTCACTGATTTGATTCAAGTTTGATGTTAAGGTCACTGGCTATATTGGGGAAACTTCATAGGCCATGGAAACTTAAACCCAAAGATTTTTCGAAGTGTTTATCTTCCCAATATGTTTCTTCACAATATCTAACTAAAGGATAACAGCAATGCTTCAAATTAAGCTGCACGATGTTTGAAAGTTGGCTGGGAGAATCAGAGAAAGAAGAGTCTCCCAGTAGCTAGTAATGATCAGGAAAACTCTCCACCATGTAGCAAGAGAATAAGAAGCATGCCAGAAACCCGTTGTTATCAAGGCAATGTAACAACTAATATAGTGGGTGTCCAGAAAATTTGATAAATACTAGATAAAATGGTTATTTGTAGAATGTGACACACATCACTATATTCATATTCTGATATGTGTCATGACCACACTTTAAAGTTACTCCCCAAAGTACTCTCTGGCACTCATTTTAGAGAAACTAATCACTATGAACTGAATGTACATTTCTGAAAGAACACACACAACAATCAGTACTGCCAACCTGTGATTCAGGAGCAAAGTATGGATTTTTCACAGAGCAGAGGATCTTTCCTAGACTTTTAAAAAAATTATGTGAATGAATCAATCATGAAGTACTAGTAAGATTCCAGTCAGAAAGCAGTAATTTTCCAAATTTCTGCTCTTCTTCCACTGTAGAGCTGT